GGGCTCGGCCGCGCCTCCCGGGGGGAAAGCGGTGAAAAACCCCCGGCGGGGGCGCCGGGCCGCGTCCTAACGCGGAAGGAGGGAGGCGCCATTCGCAGGGCGCCGCGCGGCGCCGTAGTCGTGTTGGGCGAAAGAATGTGGAGGCCGGGCCGGCAGGCGCTGATACCCACCGGGGGCTGCGCTCCGTCACGGCTCCGTCACCTCTGGCCTGCAGGAGCTTCCTCTGACAGCAAAAACAGTTTGAAGCATCTATGGGGAACAGACAGTTTAAAAAAGAGCAACTATACAGAAAAAGTTTAATTTCTAAAATATAGCCAAAGCCAGGAGTCACGTATACCAGACCGTGGCCTTCGGGAGCTCCCCCGGCATTTGACACCAATTACGCTAAGTGAACGTTAGTCCCCGGACAGCGACATGCTGGAGTACCATTTCAAAACCTACACCATATCTATGCAAATCATGCTACCATTATGAAACTAAATAAAACCAGGCCAGATCTGTACTATGAGTCTTTTCTGACATTGTCAGAATGTCATCTTCTACCCTCCTTTCTATTTTAAGCAGTGCTGCCAAAGAACGCCTTTTCATTAACTTCAACATGTATGATTTGTCTTTACTTTTAAGACCCTTTGTGTCATATCTTAATCCTAGCCAGTTTCAGACTTCCTCTTTGCAAGGCTGTTAACACCACTCCAGTTTCTCATACTTCTGATTCTCTAGTATTCTATTCACTCATACCTGATGAGACTTAAAACCACTATGCATGTATGGGTGATTTATTTTCTCATCCCTTGGATTTACTTTTTTACTCTACTCCAAGAGGGAAGGTAACACAATGGAGTGGTTTGGTTTGGATTTTAAAAATCCCAGGTAAGCATGCATTGCTCTATGGCTTAGCTTATAAAAGGCCACGTCAAGGAAATGCATGTTGCAGTTCGAAAGGAAGGAACAAAGATTTGTGACTGTCCTTAGTTCTGAGCAGAGATGGATCCATAGAGATTTATCAAGTACTAGGGGATCAAAACTTCGTCTTGATCACAGAGATTTAGTTTACCTACACCCTATCCACCCTTCACACTTGGAATTTAAATAATCGCCTAGAAACCAGTCGGGGTATCAGGTGTGGGTTTAATGTGCTCCTGTGAAGAGGTCAACAGTGGACTGGAAAGAGCAATAGGCATTAGTGATTGACAAGGCAGAGTATGGTACTGCTGAGGACTGTAGCATCACTGAGGAATCCAGAGCTAGGGCTACTTTTGTCCAACGCCCAGGCTGTCTCAGTGGTAGGAGCAATACAAAAGAACTGTGTGTCCCGTGAACGTTGCTGTCATCTGACCAATTGCTATAGCTGCGGTATGTAGATGTTGAAGGTAGTTCCTTCACCTCTCCCAGGCAAAGACATATCATCCGGCTGAAAACAACTGGCTGGGGGATCCATCAGCAAGACTTCTACCATGCATCTGTCCAACTTTTTTCCTCATGTAACTTTTTGCTTCTTTCATCTGGCACAGGAGAAGTTTCCTGAAATACTTATTTTTCCTCCTCTAAATTCCTACGTTAAGTACCTGTCTACAAAATCCTTGTCAGTAATTAAGTAGCTTATATGTTACAACCTGGGCTTAGTATGATGATTAGCCTACTGTTAGTTCTCCCAGTTGACTATGTTAATCTATCATCCATTACCATTAGCTTGGATTTAATAGAATTTGGAGTGGTATGAAGTGCCTCATACAGTAAAGAACCAGCGTTTTAAAGGACCTGCAGGTGCTACCACAAGGTAAATAGCTAATAATATCATTACTATGCATTTCTCAAGTTTTATAATGTATTCAGCAAAGTTTATTACTCTTTTCTCAACACCAGTAAGCAATCTTTAATATGTTAAAGAAGTATTTGCCTATGTCTGAGAATCTACAGACAAAATCCTTAAGGCTGTCCTTCCTGTGGTTTAGGAACTGGAAGGAGGGAATCTCTAGTTCTGCTTCTGAGATAAAACTGAGCCATTCTGGCAAGTAGAGACAATCACTACTTAAAAGATGACATGCTCAGTCACCTTCCGTTATGGCCTACCCCTAACATGGTTTCCCAGTGTGGGCTGGCAAAGGGCACACAGTCATCACCACTTTCTCTTTCCATTAGACAAGTGCTCCTTTTACCTACTGAAGTATAGTGTAAAATATGATAAGAAAATATTATATGGCTGCAACTTCAGGTGGATTTTTTTCTCTGGTTGGTTTAACAATAAAAAATACTCTTATAAATGGTCTAATAACATTAAAATATTTTTTTAATCTCAATTAAAATGTATCAGTACGTTCTCACAGAAACTTTATTTAATGCAACCTAAAGGAAGTTTGTTTTGTGGAAAAAAATTATGACCAACCATAGTTATGTCCTGTAATAAGTTTAGAATGTCTTCCTACTCTCAGGCTCCCCAGGAGGAGAAATCAGGATAGCAGATATCAGCAGATGGGAGCATAAATTTGGCTAGAAAGATAACACAAGTGAGAAGCACGTTGAGTCAGTCTCCTCCAAAGACGCTTCTTGAAAACCCAAAGGTACAAAGTTGAGTTGTTCCCACTCCATACAAAAAGCTAATATAATAGAGCAGCAATAACTGCACTCACTCTTCTTCAGTTTTATGCCTCCCAAGGGCACAGACAATCAGGCAGATAAGTTGTAATTTTACACCTCTTTGCACCAGCTGCACTTAACTGGTCTGATTTTTACCTGTCACTAATAGCACCACAGAGAATTAAAATGAAAGAACTATTAAAAGCCTAATGTATTTTTCATATGTAGGTTGTTTGCATTTCTTATGCTTATTTTGAAGCCTTGCATGAAGTGAAAAGTGGAGGTGATAATTCATTACCATGCAAAATCTAGCAGTATGGTATTATTAAAAAAGGAAGGTTTTTTGAGATAAAGAACTAAATGCACAAGGTAAGTAATTTCAGTGAAGAGGTTCTTTGAAGACTGTTGAAAACAGTCCAAAAAGAATCACACAGATTTCCAAAATAATGACAAAAAATGGGTTTCAGAGAACACAGATTATCAAGGTTTAAAATGCTTTAATAGGTCATTGCCTTTAAATTGATGGAAAAGGCCGTTGCCCCTCCCCCATTCATTTTTTAAGATTTTTCAAATTCACCTCCCCAAATCCCTTGGTCAATTAGTTTGCAATAGGAGAAAGGTGGAAAAGCATCTTATTTAGACAGACAATTAGAATTTTAGGCAGAGAGGACTGTTTAGTTTTTTTACCAAGATTGTTTCTCCTAAAAAAATAATGGTATCAAGGTAGCTGTAAACCAATCATCAGGTACTGTGCTGTACAGGGTAATTTTAAGTTAAGAATGTATGTGACTATAGAAGATTAAGTAAAACCTTAACCATAGGACTGGGAGGTAACTGAAATATATTTTCTTTTTGTACCTTTGTTTCACTGTTAGAAGTTTGACTCGGGGATGTTGTAAAGCTTTGCAGCAGTGTAGAAAACAGGATGTTATCACCCACAGATCAACTATCTTTGAATGGCAGCATTCACTTTTTGCAAAGACTGCAAAGAGGAAGTATTACAAGAAATAGGAATCTGAGCTGGGGGAATAATTACATATTTCTGCCCGCACCCACAGTTATCTCGGAAGACCCCCAAGGGCTGAAAGACCTTTCTGTGTATTAGGGCTAGTGCCATGTGCATGGGAGGAGGAAAATGGCTGAGACAGGTCACAGAGCGTGAAGTGTTCGCTGCCAGCAGGTCTGGCTGCTCCTGCTGCTCTCACAAGGGCCATGAAACAGCGAGGATGCTGAGTGGTGCTGGATGCGACCATCTCCTGCAGCAAAGCTGCTGCCTCACATGCAGGAGGAGAAGCGGAAGGCTCCAAAGGTGGAGGGAGAAAATGAGCTATCCCGGCATCTTATGCTGCTCAAGCACTGGTCTGTGGGGTAGCAAAGTGTGCTTTTATATGCCTGCCTGCCTGCCTTGCCTGTGCCTGCTGTCACACTGGGTTTTCCATTAATTTTTTTGGTTGCCTTCGATCATTGTTATTGGTGGGAAATTTTTTCCCCTATTAAAGTTCCTGGTAAAATGCCGCTTGTCCTCAGTACAACTGAGTACAACAGACATGAAACCGAAATGGTTTATGACAATACCTGTGGTATTTCTTACACATGGGAATGACTTTAAAATCTCATTCCCCATCATTCATACAGAAAATCCTTATACCTGTGTTTGGCTGTAGTCACATCATAGTATTCCCTCTTTACATGCCCAATTCTTCATGTCATCTGTGGATGATAAAATCCAGAATACATTTCTATCACTCTCCTTTTTCCTGCTGCCTGGAGATACTATTGAAGCTTCATTCACTTATGGAGTTGTCCAGACTGATTAGCACTGGCCAAAGTAATCCCTGGGTCCTCCCGGTTACTTGACAAAAGGAGCATGACTGGCTTCAGGCTACTGTCTAGAAGGAGTATAGTAAACACCTGTGATTTCAAATAGGAAATAGGTAATAGGAATGTATTCCATCGAAGTGTCATTTCACAGCAGCTTGTTTAGCTGAGCATTCACTAGGCCAGTGCATCAGTACTGTGAATGCACAAATAAGATCTCCTATGCAGCTGAAGATGAGAACCAGAATCCTGAAAATATCCCAGAAAAGTTTGCCTGTTATATGGAGCGAGAGGTACTTGCCAATTTTTAATCATCGAGCTTAGTGACTGGCATGATAACATTTTTCTGTCAGGAAAATTATTTACAGGGATTTGGAAGGTCTGTAAGGAGATCAGGAGGCTGGATCTGTGGCAAACTTAGAGTACACCTTTCAGTGAACCCAGTCTCTCTGGTACCTGCTTG